TTCTGGAACCAGGTTAACTACATGGAAAATCTCTTGCTGCGATAAATTGATTGTATGTTGACAGGCTTGAAGAGCCAGGTCGATCATATTCGACCTTGGTCCTTGGTTTTCAGGGACTTTAAGAATTGGAACTAGCTTTCCCAGGCTAAATGTTATTAAAAAAGAACTAACACTGACCGAGATGAAAAAATACATGGTAGAATATGTTTAAAATTATGCCTTAAAGAAGAGACGGGATCAGACTGTAAGAAATCTTGAAGGAAGTTAAAGCACAATAAAATTTCTCTTCGAAGTTTAGTCTCTATCCGTGCAAGAATAACGCATAACTTTGTTTAAACGCGGAGGGACATTAGGTACCTAAAATAAGGTAAAATTAACGATGCGTATTGATCACCGGACTGAAAAATATGGACTACGCACCCGTAATGCAGTATATTGCGTGTTTCTGTCAAGAATCTCCTATTACCCGCACTATGTGACGCTCACACGTGACGCATGCTAGTACAAGGAAATAGATGGAAATTCAATCACCATTCTGACAAGGAACGAGTGAAAATGTTTTCGGACATGTGGACTAATGAGACTTAAGTTTAAAGGTTCTTCAAAAACGAGGAAGACAAATAAAAGTCAGTAAATATTATGATCAGGACGTGTTTATTGTAAGCTTTAATACGTGCATACGGCAAGTCTTAAGGTGCGAGGGGAGGGGATTCGATGGTTCTTCACGCCAGTGGCGTGGCGTGCTATATGCTATATATCGATTATTATGTCGTTTAAACCTATGGTAGAGAATCGATTATTAAGGTGTTCGCTGCGAACACCCTGTTTATCGATCCTTTTCCATAGGTTTAAATGGCATAACAATCGATACATCGCAAAGCACGCCACGAAATTAAAAATTAATTTTGAAGGAAAATAAATAAACGGATTTTTCCTAAGGATTTCTTGGGAAAATATTGAGAGACCACGGGGATCCGGATTCTACTGGACCACGAGAGGAAGCCGGTTCAACCCATGCCGGCGATGCCGTTCCGCGGCCTCTTCCTTCCTGCGTATTTGCGTTTATTGCGTTGGTTTTCTGCGTATTTGTGTTTATTGCGTTTCCTGCCTATTTGCGTTTTCTGCGTATTTGCGTTTATTGCGTTTCCTGCGTATTTGCGTTTTTTGGGTTTCCTGCGTATTTGCGTTTATTGCGTTTCCTGCGTATTTGCGTTTATTGCGTTTCTTGCGTATTTGCGTTTTTTGCGTTTCCTGCGTATTTGCGTTTATTGCGTATTTGCGTTTATTGCGTTTCCTGCGTATTTGCGTTTATTAGGTATTTGCGTTTCTTGCGTTTATTGCGTTTATTGCGTATTTGCGTTTATTGCGTTTATTGCGTTTCCTGCGTATTTGCGTTTATTGCGTTTCCTGCGTATTTGCGTTTTCTGCGTTTCCTGCGTATTTGCGTTCATTGCGTATTTGCGTTTATTGCGTTTTCTGCGTATTTGTGTTTATTGCGTTTCCTGCCTATTTGCGTTTTCTGCGTATTTGCGTTTATTGCGTTTCCTGCGTATTTGCGTTTTTTGGGTTTCCTGCGTATTTGCGTTTATTGCGTTTCCTGCGTATTTGCGTTTATTGCGTTTCCTGCGTATTTGCGTTTTTTGCGTTTCCTGCGTATTTGCGTTTATTGCGTATTTGCGTTTATTGCGTTTCCTTCGTATTTACGTTTATTGCGTTTCCTGCATATTTGCGTTTATTAGGTATTTGCGTTTCTTGCGTATTTGCGTTTATTGCGTTTATTGCGTTTCCTGCGTATTTGCGTTTATTGCGTTTATTGCGTTTCCTGCGTATTTGCGTTTTCTGCGTTTCCTGCGTATTTGCGTTCATTGCGTATTTGCGTTCATTGCGTATTTGCGTTCATTGCGTATTTGCGTTTTTGCGTTTCCTGCGTATTTGCGTTGATTGCGATTCCTGCGTATTTGCGTTTATTGCGTTTCCTGCGTTTTTGCGTTTCCTGCGTATTTGCGGTTTTTGCGTTTCCTGCGTCCCAAAACATTCCCTTTTACCCCACCAAGAAGGTTGATAAAACTAACTATGAGATAAGCAACAACCTCTCTTAAAATATTACGGATCCACCAAAACCAAATATATCCAAAAACTTACTCTAGGGTTTTATTGATTCCATTTTCAATTAGAAAATGTATAACAAAATCGAATAACCGATTTTGTAGTTCATAAGCACCTAAATCCCTCGAATGAACTTGAAATTACAAAATCGGTCGAGGATATCTAATACATTTTCCCCCTCAATTATGAGTTCCGCAACAAGCACGACTCGCTTGGACCTTTACATACACGAGTCGCACGAAACTGATTTTATCTTACCTACCCCTGGTAAAAATTGGCAGTAGAATCTGTGTTCAAAAATACCACAAACCTACAACCGGCTGTAAGATTTTCAATAGCTTCTATAGCCGATAACACAATTTCTTACAGCCTTTTATAGCCTATGGCGACTAAGCAACAGCCTGGCGATAAAGTGTATGCTAAACGTTACTAATTACGGATGCTAGGACTTAGTGAGTTTTTGGACTACCGCTCTCTTGATTTATTTTGCGAGGAAAGCTCCGTTCTCTTGAAGGATGCCTGCCATTCCTAATGATGGAGCGCCTTCAATTTTGTATGATACTGTGCAATACCTCTGGGGTGAAATAGTTGCTTCAAGCCCCGTGGTACGCTGCGGCGCGGCGCGGCGGGTGGGCAGCCAGCGCGAAACGCGCATTCGCGCCTTCAAACCTAACAGGGATACTACACGCATTGCGCAATGCGTGAAGTATCCCTGTTAGGTTTGTAGGCGCCAGTGCGCCGCCGCTCCGCTTCGTTCCGCTGAAACGCATAGCGCTTACAAGACTGCACGAATACTTCACTCATTGCGCCAAATACAGTGCGGTCAGCGCGGCGCGGCGCGGTGCGGCGGGGGAAGTTAAAATTATTAAACCACATTTATGTTCGTTCTTTCATATTTTCGTTTATTTCATGTAAATGGAAGGCCTTGTCCACACAGAGATAGTTTTACGGAACTTAACTTTCGTACCAAGTTCCGTTAACTTTTGCTAGCAGTGTCGACAGGGCTTTCGCAAAACATGCGTCCAACACGAATAAACGCGTCTTATGCACCCCTCCCCCTACGGCACGTTCACTTGATGGTTTTTATTGGTGTTTCAAAACGAATGAGAAGGGGGCGGCAAAATACAGGCGGCCCATGGGCGGCAAGTAGGTAAATCCGGCCCTGTCAATTACCATTGCAGTGTGATATCGTCATCAGTCTGCGGTTCGTGAAGATCGCCAATCCGGCCCTGGGCGGAGATTTTCAGACACCGCAAACGAGATACGGGGTTATTCAAAAGTCACGCACCACTGACAATGAGGGGGGTGGCCATTTGAAATTTTTTAGTTGCCCCCCGCCCCCTCCCCCCAAGGGGATCAAAAACTGGAAAGTATCTCAAACAGTTTCCTCTCGATACTAGGAAAAACGTCTTAAACCGCAAATCGATATCATAATTAGAACTAAGGTTATGGCGAGTGGTGCGTGACTTTTGAATAACCCTGTATGTGATTGCGGACTCACGCCGTTGATAGGTATAGAAGAAGTACATCTTAAAAAAGAATCAGACCTGAAATCGGAAAAAGAGAGAAAAAAGTCTGGTGTCTACACAGTCAAAGAGATGAGAGAGACCTGTTCGGATCACGCTGTTTGAGTTCATGCTCCACACCATCGCGCCTTCAGTTTTGCAGATGCAACATAGACATCCATCAAGCATGAATAGTTGTATCTCAACGCCGTCATCAAAGCGGATTCTTTCTCACCGTAGTCTTGAAGCAACACAAAATGTGACAAAAATTTCCCCAAAAACGGTTTGGAGCGAATGTATCTGTGTTATGTGGGGACCAAAAATCACGAAACATCCAGTGCTTGACTAATCCTATTTTCGAGATACCAGAAATTGGACTGCATTTTGCAATTTGGACCTATTAATTCTGGCTCTTCTGTCTTCTTCTCTCTATAAACTCTGGAAAAACACTTATGTGCATAGGAAAACTAATGGTACATACATCGTTTTTAAACCGGGATAGAATTTATGGTTCCAAATTGCAAAATGTAGTCCAATTGAACTTTATAAATGAAAGTTTTCCACGGTTTTTGGTCGATTCTCTCCGCTTTTAGTACAAATGCTCATGTGAAACATGGTGTTAATTTGTGTGAAAAATATGCAAACTATGGAAGTAACTCCGGGATACACTTTGGGCTGTACGTTTTTAGGGGACTTTCGACTAAAATATTTTGATAGCAGATTAAAGGCATCTACTGCACCTTATTTCTGCAGCTTACTTAAGACCGCCTAAATGCCTTATTACGCAGCGTAACGCAAGCTGAATTCTCCCCCCCCCCCTTTAGAACGTCACGTACGTAATTTACGGACTCTCCCTAATGCTAGGGATGCTCTGCTGGTTTAGAGAAACTTAAGGAGGAAGTATATTTTTAATATAAAGTATTGCTTAAATAGGAAAGCAGAGGTATTATTAAATTCATTAAAGTAGTGTTTAACATTATTTACAGCTTGCTCGAGGCATGATTCGTAGACAACTTGAGAGCACCAGTATTTACATGATTTCTGCGCGGTGTATGTCTTCTTGTCTACCTCGTAAATTGAAGGCGAAATGGCAAGGAGTGTAACCTATCCAAATCTCCTTCCTGTCAATTATTCACCCCCCGCTGAATTTTTATTCAGAAAACGTCATTCCTTTCTCGATGAATGTTGACTCTATAAAAATGCATAAAATAGGTAATTCGGCTTACTGTTAGACTCATTGTCAAACGCTCTTCATGAGCAGTCAAAATAATTATTGTACCTAGTAGGGCATCAGTGAGGGAGGGTGAGGTGTAGTGGGTGTAGTGTAGTACGGGTACGACCTGTGACGTCAGTGCGGTACAAAATCCTTAAATTTTGAGGTTATGTTTATTTCATTATCTTTCTCTCCTCGCGTTCACGTGGATAATTTTAGTGCACTGTATTTTAACTTTAATTGAATTGTTTGATCTCCGTGTTAATTTATTCAGCGTCATGGCTCAGATGAATTTGCCACAACTACAGAATCTCATTAAAAGAGATCCAGAATCCTACAAAGATGAGGTAACTGATGCCAAATGGCACATGTGTGTATATCATTTTAACATGCATCCTTCACACGCTTTTTAGTCGAAATCGAATTGTTTTTCACTATTTTCACTTATTTTATGCATTATCACCTGACAGTTTTAACTGATCAATGGGGAACTCTATCTCCAGGATTTACTTGTCTTAATTTCTTTGCAAGGATATTGACGGCAAAAGTCCGCAATCACATATCTCGTTTGCAGTGCCTGAAAATCGCTGCCTCTATGTTATTTTTTAAAGGACAACAAATTTACATCGTTCCTCCAAGTTTTTGCAGAATTTTCTTTGCACAGAGAAGAAAAATTGCGGCAGTTTTCAAGAATTGCCGTTGAGTAGTTTTCCGATTAAAAATTGAAGTATGGCAGGAAGTCTGCGACGTCGCAAACTGAGTTATGTGACTGCCAACTTGCACCGTTGATATGTAGCATTATATTCCTCAGGCATCTAGCATCAGCCATCGCTCACTCTATCCCTATAGATTTGTGTGTATTCATATTATGACAGAAGATCAATCAAAGCTTCGTAAAATAGCCCTTGTGAGGCTCAAAGTAATGCGCTCTTGATTTTCCTCCATGAACTTAAGGCGTTGAACTCCCTCGTTACAGAGCATGCGACAGTTGTGAGCCCTAGTATTGGTGAGTAGCGATTGCTAATGTCAGAGTTTTAGGCTTTTTGTTTTGTAGCTTGAAAAGTGGAGTCACCCTATGGTAACGTTCTGTAGGTGACTTCATCATGGGCACTAGACAGGGTCTGAAGTGAGTAGAAAAAAACATATTTTTTCTCCTCTAATTCTTACATAGTAAATACTTGTACAGGTTAGTAAACAGGACGCGTGTTGTCGGCGTTAGTAAACAGGAAGTTTCGAAATCAACGCCTGAACGAGATATTAACAAGTCTTTTAAGCACAGATCAAATGGTAGTTCCTATAGACAAGTGACGTCCTTTGTATTTTTGTCATTTAAACAATGGTAATAGAAAACACTTATCTTGTTCAGGAGTTGATTTTCAGACTTCCCTGCGGACTGATTGTTGAAATTGATAGAGAAAGCCATAGACGAGGAAGAGAAAGGGGAAATTGAGTGCTTCGATTGGTTGAAACGGGAGGTTGTTATGGACTTAGGAGACACTATGGACTAGCTGTAGGGTCTCCTGTAGGTTGCTGTTAGTTAGTATATCACCACCTTTGTCCATTGCAACTACCCGCTTTCACCAATAGGACCCCTCCATTTTTTTATCATATTCTATGTCTGTCGATTTGTCTAGCAATTCGTCTATCAATTCCAATAATCAGCCAACTGTTGTACGATTCCTTTTCCCTGTGGAATTTTAAAGGTAAAACACAAGGAGTCGTGCTTTAATTCACACCTTATCTAGAGGTCCCGTTAGAGTATAATATGAACTGCTGCGTTTTGAACAAACCCAAATTAGCAATTGCAATGCTATCAGAGACTTCCTTGTTATGTTGCAGCACAGGTCAATGCCAATATTCATCTTCAATACTGAAAATTCGTTGACCCTTTCCAGTGCAAATCATGACTGAAAATTGGCAATCATTACTCAGTCAAGATTTTTAATGGATGGAAATCTTCTCATTTTGTAGCTGATTTACATCGCACATCATCTTAATTATTTATCTTTCATTTTCATTCCAGTTTCTACTTCAACGGAGGCATTTTCAGTCTCTACTCTCTGTGTTTCTCCTTCGCCCAAGCCAATATAACAAAGGCCTGGATGAGCTGGTTATGTTTATGGCACAAGTAGCACATTGTTACAAAGGTGAACTTTCAACATTTGCTCAAGAAATCATTGATGTTCTGCAAAACCACAACACGGTGCTAGATCCCAATATTCGAATGGCAAGTACTCATTTTCTACTTCATGTTTTCTGTTTGAGGGAGTCAAGTGATAATAATTCAGAATAGCACCATTTTAAGAAAGTTTTTCAGCATATACTTTTTACAAGACCTTTCTTGACTGTTTTATCGGTGCTAAGTAGCACAGAAAATTTACTAAAAAATGTCAAAAACTGATGTTTCCTAGCCTCCATAAAGGCCCAGGTGTCTCAGTGGCAATTTTTGCAAAATGGCAATGTTTTGTTTTGTCCATTTACCCCAATGCATTTCAAACAACTGGTATCCGTCAAGGTGATTCTTACTGATCTTGTTACGAAATCCGTCGATGTGTTGCGCTGTTGCACAGTCTGTGTCTTTGAGAAGCAGTAATTATTGTGATGTACAAGTTAATGCATAATTAACTTGTTTGAATCCATAATTTGAGCAACATTATTTTGTACAGCAGCTTGTAAGTTGTAGTTATGGCATCAAATGTGTGAAGATTCATCGAAAATATGAGTATTGGAAACTACCATAACAGACATCGTTTATTGACTCAATATGTAAGAAAGAGATATTATAATGCTATCTTCTTTCAATCCTCTCAAAACTAGCAACAAGACCAAGGGTCTGAAGTGGCAGATACAGCTGCGAATCACAAGCGCTTGTTGAAAGTGAAACACCAATAGGAAACCAGGATTTCAATCGCTCAACGTTGAGCTATTAAAATCCTCCTTGCCTATTGGTGTTTCTTTTTCAACAAGCGCTTGCAACTTACAAGTGTATCTGAGCCTTTAAAATTCCAGAATAAAAGGGATGAAGTATTATGACGAATGAGTAAGTATGCAAAATTTGAGGAACATCCTGTTGTTGGGGAGAGGCGAGTAGGGCAATAATGTTGTTTTCAGAGATCTCTTAAAACTATATGGCATGCTGAAAACTGTCATCAAAACCAAGTAAATGAGGCCCAAAAAATGTCATGGGTTCCTTTTCTTTTGTTCCGATTGTGAACAATTAGCAAGATTCATATGTTCAAGATATCATTTTTTACTCCTGTTACTATGTTGACTCAAAATATCATATTTAAATAAAGAAGAAAGCTGAACTAGTTTACCCAGATAACTAAAACCTAACTACAGTCATAATAAAATCTGTTTTAAATTGTTTGAGAATATAAATGAACTTCTAGATTTTAAATGTTATATTTAGCAAGCTGCTCCATTTTTCTTTCAAATTCTTTCCAACAAATTATAGGGGAACAAATATGCTCATTTTCTGTTGAGTTTCATCACAGCCAATTTTTTTCTGTTCACAGACTTTTTGCAGAGCCTTGATCTTGCTTCGAAACAAAGGACTACTTACGCCAACTGATCTGTTATCCCTCTTTTTTAGTCTTCTGAGGTGTCAGGATAAATCTTTGCGTAAATTTCTTCAAAATCATATCATCAATGATATTAAAAACATCAATTCTAAGCACAAAGACATGAAACTGAACTCAACACTGCAGACATTCATGTACAGTATGTTAAATGATCATGCAAAAGCTGCCAAAATGTCTGTCAACATCATGATTGAGTTATACAAAAAGAGAATTTGGAATGATGCTAAAACAGTAAACGTTCTTGCCACCGCCTGCTTTTCAAAAGTTACTAAGGTAAAATTGAAAATTGAGAATGCCATTTTTTGTTCTTTTTTCATTTAATCAAATCGCTAAGAGAAAATCTTTTGAAGTTGCCAAAAATCCAACTTTAATTTAAATAGAAAAATCGTACTGACGATTTCGAGGACATCTCAAGATAAATCAGTTAGTTGCGCTGGTCACAGAATCGTGTTTCGATGCTTGATTCTGTAGATCAGCTGTAAATAATACCATCTGTCCAAACAGCAACTCTCTATATTCAATATTAACTGAGATATCATGCTTTGAAAAATTACACCATCCACTGCGGTAGTGACACTCTTGGTTTCCTCCGCCTTGCTTTCGTCTGAGTTTTGCGTGGAGTAACCAGTGCGAATGTGCTTCACACCGACTGATGAAAGCAAGGTGGAAATAACCGAGGGTGTCACTATAGGGGATGACACCGAAACCCCGAATTTTCAAAGGGCCATATCTCAGTCAATAGGAATTGAACATAGAAAGTTGCTGTTCGGACAGATTTTATTATTTTAGCTGATCTACAAGAATCAAGCATCAAAACACGATTCTGTGATCAGCACAACTGACCCATTGACAGCTATTTTCCTTTCTGTTTGCATTGGGCCTGCTGCAAACTTTTACCAGAGCGTAAATAAGAGTTGTTTCCCAGAAAACGTCTCAAAAATCACGATGAGCCCATCGGCAAATTCTGAAATGCACTTCTAACTTCACAATCTGCGCAAGAAATTTGCACTTTATTTAGCTTTCCACTCCAAAAACGAATCTACGGTATAGGTGAACATTTTGTTATAGGGGTCGTTCCATTCAACCCTTTCGCAATAGCAACACCCTACATAGCCGACGCTTCCGAGCGCAAATCGCAATCAGGAGCACAAGATCAACCAAAGCAAATCTTTATCAACGGGAAGAAATCGTGAATGTAAACACACTGGGCTAGAATCTCGTCAAGGCACATGTGTTTTGGCGGATTGGCGTCGGTCATGTTGAATATTGAGGAGCATCCTAATGAGCAGGGGTTGGATGGTTTGACTCCTCTAAAAAAATGTTCTCCTGTGCCGTAGTATCGTGTTTGAAGCTAGGAGCTCAAAAAAATGCAAATTGTTTACGTAGATTGTGAAGTCAGGAGTGCATTTCAGAGTTTGCCGATGCGCTCATCATGACTTTTGAGGCATTTGCTGCAAGAAACAAATTTTATTTTTGCTCTAGCAAAAGTTTGCAACAGGCCCATTGTAATTAGAAGTTTCCTTCTTCAGATGTGTACCTAACCAATCATCGTCTAGATCCTGATCTCCCTACCCACTTGAAATTTAGTACTAGAAAATTACGTTTGCATGAAAAGTGCAAGAAACCTCTGCTATTCTGCTAATTTTATCTATGCTCAACATTCTCATCAAATGATTGTTTGTGATATTACCTCGAATGAAGCTATTTTAAACTTTACATCGGATTAAGATAGGGAATGTTGAATTTCATCTTATAATTCAAAAATGCATTAACTTTCTTCTGAAAAATAAAAACTGATGTGATCCCAAATTTAATCAATAATTTTTCTCTTTCGCTTGCAGGTTATGGTTGCTGCTTTAAAATTTTTCCAGAGCTCTGATGATCCAGAACCTACAAAAGACAGTGATGACTCAGACGATGAAATAAATCCCCAAGCCAAGGCTTTAGCAAATAAATTCAACAAGAAAACTAGGAAGAGAAAAAACATGTTGGAAAAGACAAAGAAAGCAGCAGCGAAAGAAAAGAAGAAAAAAGGAGATGCCCCTTCTTTTAATTTTTCAGCTTTAAATCTAATCCATGATCCACAGAGCTTTTCTGAAAAGTTGTTTGCTCAGCTGGAAAAGCGGCATGAAAGATTTGAAGTTCGCTTAATGACGATTGATGTTATTTCAAGGCTCATCGGTTTGCATCAATTGTTTCTGTTCAATTTTTACCCTTATATACAAAGGTTTCTTCAACCTCATCAGAAAGGTAAGTTTTTCATATTTATCAGCCACACTATAATCCTTAACCACAACGCTATACCAGGGCTACTTCAGGAATAACAGGGAGTTGCATGTATCCAAGATAGCCCCTTCGCAAATTTTGCCATTTCTCTCAATTTTGACTCTTGAAAGCCACCTAATTTTCTACATCTCCTTTGCAAGGTCATGATTCTGCACACCCAAGTAATTATCCCACTTTTGCTGTCATCTGCATATTGTCACATTGGGCATTTTGTGTACCTCTGCATGATAGAATTTTGATTCTTTAAAATTTTGTGAAAGAAAAAAAAAACCTGTGTTTGAAACTTAATTAGTTGGCTAAGTATCATTCGATATTACTCAAAATATTTTAGTCGGATAAAAAATTAGAAACTGCTCTTTGTTCAAAATTATGCCTGCAATTTCTGATATTTCAAGAATGTTCACTTTTTTTATAGTTTTAACAACAAAGACAAACCCCAAACTGCTACCATAGGGAAAATTTCCCCCTTCCATACTTTTGAATTTCAAATCTTGAAGCTCGTAACGTTTTGTTAAAAGAGCTTACTTCTCAAAGTATCCTTTTTTTATACAATATACTAATCCTCATTTTGTATTCCTTATCTTCCCTGGGTATTCATGTTCCAGAGGTGACCAAACTACTCCAGTATGTTGCTCAGTCTGCTCATGAATTGGTACCACCAGACGTTCTAGAACCTGTTTTGAAGACCATGGTCAATAACTTTGTCACGGAAAGAAATTCAACTGATGCCATGGCCATTGGGTTGAATGCCATTCGGGAGTTATGTGCGCGATGTCCGCTTGTCATGAATGAGGATTTGCTGAAAGATTTAATCGGCTACAGTCGATACAGAGATAAAAGTGTTATGATGGCTGCGCGTGCATTGCTTCATCTATACCGAGCGTCACTTCCAACTATGTTGGCTAAGAAAGATCGGGTAAACTTTTTCCTTCTTGCCTGAAAATGTTCAAAGAACAGATAATCTAATTAATTTTGGAAATCTGCAATAACAGTTTAATCTTTGTAAACAATTTGATAGCTCCATCTAGTGTCAGTAATAAGAAATGGAGTTCCAAAAATTCTGATTTACATTGGAATCAATGAAGTCAACGTGAATTTTGCCCATGATATCTGAAAATACCTGAAATAAAGTTGGGTACCTTTTTAACATCAATATAAACAAAAAAAAAATTTCTGTCCTAAGTTTGAATGTTTCAAGAAATTTAGTTCTCGCTTGTCGCTGTTGGAAGTCCACTAAAATTATTCTTTTGCAGTTTTCATCAGGTATAAAATGGTCTGAGATCATTTTTACTTCAGAAAAATTGCAGCATCAAGAGACAGAAAATTTTGGAGGATGCGGAGTGGTGGACTGTGTTTAGCTCCTTCCATGTGGTCAAAATTTGGTTTGAAAGATATTTTCTCTCAATTTTAATGAAATCACAAGTGAATAACCAAGATATTTCCCCCAAAAATCTTGCAACTGTTGAAGAGTCTACTAATCATGGGATTATTTTTTCTCTTTTAAATATTAACTCTAGCTGTATTCTACCACTCACTTTTTATAATTATTCTTTCAGGGTCGGCCAACTCAAGCATCTATAGAAATCAAAGCTAAGAAGTATGGAGAAATTGAAGCGGTTGACTATGTAGCAGGTGCAGAAGTCCTTCTTGAGGAGCAGAAGAAAGAGTTGGAAAAAGAGAAAGAGAAAGAGGTTTGCAAGTTTATGTTTTTCACTTTTCTTTCAGATTGCAACTTTGAGCTTCAATCGCGATCATTGGTGTAAAAGTATGCACAAGGGAAAGGAAGAACTTTGAATATGACACCATGTGTTGATATAAAATTGCCACCTCGCGACGATTTTTTGTCTTAGATTTTTAAAATATTGGAGCCAAGCGCCTTTTCTTCCTTTTTTGCTGGAACACAAAGTCAAGTTTATTGATCTGAAAATATCCAATTAAAAAATTGAAGCAGAATGGTAATGTCTCCTTATGGCAGGTAATGTCTCCTTTTCTGCATCTTTAAAATCTAAATGCCTGTGACATCGTTGCAACATGTTTTACAGTATCCAGTTCTCAGAAAGTGGATCTGAAATATTCATCTCTTTAATTTGGGAATAGAAAAACAAATGTGGTAAACAAGAAATGAAAATTCAGTTATTTGTGCTAATAGCTTTGAAATAATGTGCACATGTGTTTGAGAGAGTTAGTTGTCCATAGAATCACATCCTGTGTATCTTCAGAATACCCAACTAAAAGAGGAAGATACACTATAAATAGGATCGAAAATTGCTGGTTATAGTTTCATGTACTATTTTGTTCATCCTTATCATTTGAATTAAGATTACATTTTGCAATGAAGAACTACCATTTCTCACTCATCTTTGAATCAACATACATGCCTTTATTTTTACTAAGCAGGTAAATGCTTTTATGGACTAGCTAAAAGAACTAACTCTTTATCGCAAAATGTTGTTCATTTCTTATCATATCAGGGTGTCTACAAGTCCAGAATTTTCGGAAAGTCCGGAAATAGTACTGATTTTTCAATGGCGGTCCAAAAGCACTGAAAAAGTGCGGAAATTTTGCAAGAAAGTCCGGAATTTTTTTCATTTTTGTCGTAATTTGAGCGGGAAATTAACATTTTCAAATTTCGTCCGTTGAAGGTATTGAAAATGTACTGAATTTTTCTGTTGAGGATGCACTGAATTTGTTGGGTATGTACTGAAAAAGAACTGTAAAACTACTGATTTTTGGTCAGCCTGTTTTAGTAGACACCCTGCAGATATTTTCCTCTTACTATGCAAAATGTGTCTTTAAGTTTTTAATTTTTTCTTTCTCCATTAGGATGCAGGATCTGACTCTGACTCTGACTGGGTGGATGTCTCTGATTCAGCCTCTGAAGGTGCCGCATCGGACATTGAAGAGGAAGAAGAAGAAGAAGATGAAGAGGGAGGAGATGAAAGTGAAGAAGAGCAGGAAGAAGACGATGAGAACAAAGAGAAGGAGACTGCCTCAGGATCAAAGTTGGATGCCCAACCTGGGAAGCCTGCCACTCCAGCTAAAGAAAAAGTTGTCAAGTTATCTAAAGAGCAGGTTGCAGAAGAAAAAAGACGGGAAGCAGCCTTGATTAGCTCAACTCGTATTTTAACAGATGAAGACTTTGCCGCAATTGATGCAGCTCAAGCAAGAAAGCACGCAGAAGCTGCCAAAAACTTAAAGAGGAAAGCTGAAGCCCTTTATGACTCGTAAGTTTCAAAGTCTGAATTGTTTTTTACACCAAAAAGGGTATTTATTTTTCCCCTCTCAATTTTGATGTTTCATTCTCTGAATAATTAGAATTTTTGTTCAAAATGAAGGCGCGAGGCAGGGTTATTAGGTCGAAACAATCAGGGTCATTGAATTACTTTCTCAGAAATCCTGGACGAAAATGTAAGGAATGCAGCCGAAGAATTGGGGAAAAATCGTTCCTCTCAACTCTTGTAATCACAGTCCATAACATGATTGTATTTTAAATTTCTTCGAATACTATTTTGCTCTTGTCAATCAGATGTTGACATTGTGATAATGTTATATTTTGAGAATTTCTTGGAGCCAAGTGCAGTACTTACCCTGCTGCATTATTTTGTTTCTGCTCTGTGTCCATTTTTACTTGCAAACCCAGAGAATTAATAGAAATAGTTGAAATTAAAGATTTATAACAATGAAAATTATTAAGGAGTGTAAAGATCTAGTAATATCTTTGCGAATAGCTCTTAACTTTCTCCTCTTTCTGTTATAGCGCTGAGCGTGTGAAACTAGAAGATATAGAAAATATTTACAAGAAGAAACGACATGACAAAGAAGCTAGAATGGAAACAGTTCTGGTAAGCATCACTCTCCCGCCAATATGCACTTTGGAATGTATCAAACGTAGTGCATCCCTTCATGCACATTATTTCAGAGATTTTGAATTTATTGGCATGGAAGCCGTGGAATTCAGAAGCAAGTTAGTCATGGGCCTTCTCCTTCTCAAGTCTTAAAGAGTATCATATCCTTTTTTCTGAGTATTAATTCTAAATGATACAGAATCAAAAACAAAAGTGATGGATTAATCAAGGGAGCATTTTACAAAAAGTACAACTAGATTAACAGTATGTATTTCCTATGTGGAACAGTGATGTAAGGTTTTCAGTCTGAATGAAACCTTTTATTTGTTATTATTTAGGTTATTTTATAGGTAAATTTTTGTTTCTCCTCATTTTCAACATGTTTATTGGCAGTCATTATGACCAGACATGAAAGCTTCTGTTAATGGCTTGGTCACTGCTGCGGACCAGCCAATAAGAAGTGTTTCCCTGGCGCCAGCAGTTACAAACATTGCACTTGTAGAGATGCATTGCCCCAGACCAAAGTGGCATCAGACAAACAAGCATTTTTTTACCATCAATTTTGTATTTTTAGAAGTTTTCTCATTTTATTAACGTTTATGTGTCCGCATTAGCGAAAGCATTTATTAAAAAATCTCTTTCAATCAGTGTGTCAATTTGGTTTTTTATAATATTCTGAAGACACTACAAGTGATTAAGGAATCCACAATGTCTGCTGTCTCCTGATCTGATCTTTCTAAACTTATACTTCCAAGAGTCGCATCATTTAATCTTGCATCATGTTTGAATTTACAGAAAGGAAGAGAAGGTAGAGAAAAATTCGGATGGAAAGACAATCGGAAGAATCCATTTTCAAGTAAAACGAATCGTGAGAAAAAGAAGAATAAGAACTTTATGATGTTGAAGCACAAAGTAGGCCAAAAGATAAAAAGGTCATTCAAAGACAAGCAGGTAAGTTTTTGCTCATCCTTTCCATATTGAAAGAAATACAATATTGCATTTTTCTTAGATGTCAGACATGGACCAAAGACAAGTACCCAATCAGCATAGATTTTTGATCTTAGATTACAAATATGTATGCCATTTTTTCTCTCGTTTGCTGTTGTTTAGTATTTTTCAGTTTTATTTAATGACTCTTACCCCTCTTTTGCTGTTGTTTAGTATTTTACAGTTTTATTTAATGACTCTTACATTTTCATAATTTTCAAAACTGAATCGCTCAAAATTCATAACAAGTTGATAAGAATTCCTCGAATTTTGATTAAATTACAAAGAAATCATGTTGAAGTGAAAGTATTCGTGTTTTTTTAACACAAGGAAATAGGTAGATAACCAAAGCTTTAAGAGTGATAGGGATCATTCCTGAGAAATGATTTTTTTTTAGTTTCTTAAGATAAGGTTGATTTGGACAAACCTGATTGCTGGCCACTAAGTAAAAATTGCCTTCAGACGTGGCAGACCTATGAAATTGTATCAGCATCAGAAGTGGAAAAATGAAAAAATAAGATACCATCTCCAGTTTTCAGACAAAGATATGTTGAACATTCGTCCAGAGGTTTCAACTCAGTAGGAAAAGTTCATGAAGCCCTGTTTCATACATGTTGTAGACAGTTAGTTAAATCGGGCACTTTTTCAAATGCCTAGACAGATGGTCTTGCATTGACCGTTTACAAAATTTTCTAAATTTATGACGAAAGAATAACGGGTTCAATATTTTGGGAAAAATCACTCGTATAATTTACAAACTCTCCTTTTTCCTTTTTCCTCAAATGCTTCTCGGACATTTATGTTAAAGTTTTAAAAATTCTTTATCTTATATTATATGACATGCTGCAAATTTTAAGACAAATGTTTGTTCAGGAGCTATAAACCGTTCAATGTACTATCCTATTATGCACATTTTTACAGAGATTTCTATCTCACATGATCGATGAATAGTGTTACCTAAAATTAGCAAAACAATCAGGATTTAAATCTAAGTAAGAATATTCGGCTATTTGCCAAGGCATTTGACAAAATGCTTGATTTGACTATTTGCCTACGACGTACACGTATCGATGGCGAAAGTCAAAAAGTGCTGATTTCAGTTTGCGACATTTTGAGTCTCCGCTTACAATATATTTCTTTGATGGAAAGCTAACCAGCATTTTCTGTAAGTTTTTCTCACTGAGAAGGAGTTACACATAATTGCAAGGAAGCATTTGCATCAGTTTCTATTGCGGAAAACAAAACATCAGTTGGAGGTTTCAATGTGTTGCAATTGAGATACGTCTTTTTCGCATTTAGCCATTGATATTTCACCTACCTTCAAATGTATGTTTAGGAGAAAGACGGACTTGAACTATTTGAAAATCCAAACGAAAAATTATCACTGTTATTATTCTATTTTGTATTTATTTTTGTTTGAAAGTTGATCTCAATTTCTCATTTTTCATTTTCAGATTGCTTTGAGGGATCATTTGATCAAACTGAAAAAAATGAAATAGAAGTCATACTGCGTGTTTTGTTAGTGCTTGATCACTCGGACTTTTTGTTCACCATGTATTCCTTTGTTCTTACAGTTCATTTGCCAGTAGCCAGAATTTTATTTATTTATTTTTTTTATTTTGGAATTCCAGAGTTTTAAAATGCATTGATCTTAAAAGAAAAATATTATGTACAAATTTGTAAATAGAATTTATTTTGTTAATTTGTAAATATGTAACTTTGTTAACAATAAACAATTTGTTTTACAAACTCAAAAAAGCTTATTTTAAACTCTCAACTAAATTTCCTTGGAGGATGAATCATCTATAGTTCACATGAAAGCACCCATTAGGATAAGGAGGTGAAGCACTTCTGTTGTTGTACTGAATTTTTAATGAGTGAAAATTTTAGGTACTTAGTCTATACTGCCAAAAATTGAAGAAAATTAGTATTGAAATTTAATTAAGTTGTCATTGTAGAGAAAAATACAGAGAACTTTTGGTCCAAAAGACTTATACCAGACTGATACTTATACCACAACAACATTACTAGACCATCTTTCAAAAACTTCTAAAATCAATTATTAAAAGGATGGGTTGATTTTTGTCGATTTTTCATCTGATTGATTCTCTATAAAGCTACCTCCCAAGTCTGAAAAAGTTATCTGTTAGTCTATTTTCAAACATCAATTATTTAAAGATAAATGTATATATCGTCAATAAAAACTAAGAAATCTTGGAGAATTCGTTTTCAACGGAACGCTTGGTAACTTCTGTCGGAAAATTCAATTCAAGTGTGAGATTAGGGCTCTCTTTCATTGAGAAAAAAAGTATCCTTTCACAATGAATGACACTTTTTGACTGCAAAATTTACCAGGGAACTCAGCACTTTTTTGTGGATTTCAGGAAATAGAATCAAGTTTTTTCACCTTGAAAATCCAAGCAGCTGACATTTTGGAGGGGTTGTCACTCTTCGACTTGCCAGCATGCCTCCGTCTCTCTCATTATTTGTATTAAAAAAATAATTGGCCTCAGATATATTTTGTAAATCAGCAGAGTTCCTCTTGAAACCATGCGAACAAGACAAGATAAAGCCCTATCTGCGGGGCGATTATTGAAATGATATCGACTGTATGTCAGCGCTTTGTCGTGTCGCGCCATCGACTAAGCAATGGCTNCCTTTCACAATGAATGACACTTTTTGACTGCAAAATTTACCAGGGAACTCAGCACTTTTTTGTGGATTTCAGGAAATAGAATCAAGTTTTTTCACCTTGAAAATCCAAGCAGCTGATCTTTTTGGAGGGGTTGTCACTCTTCGACTTGCTAGCATGCCTCTGTCTTTTTCATTATTTGTATTAAAAAAATAATTGGCCCCAGATATATTTTGTAAATCAGCAGGGTTCCTCTTGAAACCATGCGAACAAGACAAGATAAAGCCCTATCTGTAGGTACCATGCGAATCGTTGCACTTTGTTTTAATTATTGACCGACTGTCAGTCGTAGGTACACGGAAAAAAAAGCTGCTGAAGTAACAATCCGGATGTTGAAAATCTGTGTGACAACTCTTGAATGTTGATGTTAATGCTATTGTTGTGTATTCAACTTAGCTAGGATGTTACTTTAACAGCCGCGGAGTGTCCATAACAACATTCAAGAGTTGCGTGCAGATTTTTAACTCCTGGGATGTTACTTCGGTAACTTTTTTTGTGTGTAAGGGTTTCTGTCAAGATTATGTCTTACAAGCAGGGCAGCAGGAGGAACCAAACGTTTATTTTCTTCAGCCCTTCACTTCCAATCAAAAGGATAGTTTATCCTTCGTCTGGTAAAGTGTACAAAACAGTATGCTGACAGGACAGAGTCTCCGAAATCTGCAACTCCGGGACAGTCTGCAAACACTTTTTGCTGTTCATGAGACCTTCGCCTGAGCGCTATGTTCCCCTTATTTGGACTGCATTTTGCAATTTGGACCTACAAATTCTGGCTCATCTGAAAAAACACTTATGTGCATAGGGAAACTAATGGCACATACGTTGTTTTTAAACCGAGCCGGAATTTATAGTTCCAAATTGCAAAATGAAGTCCATTTTGAGTCCTTCCATCCTTAAGCTTCAAATCCTCTCCATCAATCCCCCCCNCATCGCGTAGATTAATTTAGTTTCATTAATGTACCTTGACCTATGTGTAATGAGCGAGTAGTGATATTTAAGTTTGATTGAAGACGCACATTAGTTAAGTTGGTACCTGCAATGACACCTTTTGGCGGGAAAGAATCTTAAGATTGCATCAGCTGTTTGTATCGCAAAAGAACAACATTGCCGCACCACTGTTGCCGTCTGATACAGTCTATTTCTTTGCAGAGTTATCTTTGATACAGTGCGAAGAATTCTCTTCTTGTTCAAGTCTGTTTTAAGTAGAACTAATCTTTAGTCTTAAATATTCAGTATTTCAACCAACAGAACAGACATACGGTCAGGATTCGTCGAACAGCAACAGTAAATATTGGCAGTTCAGTTTGGCAGCTGTGCTCAGAATCATATGTTTATTTTCCATTTCTGACAGTTCGTTACATTTGTAAACAAAACTGGTGCAGTACGTGTGATATCCCTCTTTGGGTGTTTTTTTTAAAAATTTTAGTTGATTTCAGTGGTTATAAAATTCAGAATGAATAATTCAATTAGTAACGCGGATAGTCTTAATAAATGTGGCAGTGACGGAGCTAAAACTGAGTGTTTAACAAACAAGGAAAATCTGAATCCGACCATCTCTAACCTTGATGAACCCAACGAGTGTTTCAATCAAACCGGTGTGGAACTCGGAGTGAAATCTTGGAGGAAACCTCATCTATTATCATCCAAGCAGAACGTAAGTGAGAATTCAAGTTTCACTGATTTAAACATGAATGTTCCCGTCGAACTCCAAGAGTTGAGTTTCCCTGACGACCAGTCTGAGTGCTCGATCAACAATGTCGCCGCCAGCACACCCGTAGTTTCACAGACTGATCTGCAGGCTCTAACCGCCGGTCTGGAGCATTTATCAATCGATCTTGACTCCTCCGACATCTACCGTGATACCCCAAACCGTACTCAATCGGACAAATGCTTTTTGTTCCTCGGAAACCGGAGCTCTGAAACCACCAACTCTCTCAATCTGGAGGAGAATGCCTCCACGGTCTGTGATAAGCTCATGAGCACATTTTTCTCAAAAAGTAAAACCTCGCCTCTAGACGGAGAGTACTTAATTCGAGAAAAGCCGATTGAAACTTCTAAATTGTTCGAAAGTGTCGAAGTTCCGCTCTCAGACCCTGAAACCCCTGAGTCTCCAGTCAAAGATGAAGCCCCCGAATTTTCAGAGGAATTCGCTAATTCGGTCCTCCCCGCCATTGAATCTTTCGAAAATCCGAGCCTTTGCGAAACCCCCCATTTGCCAGCCAGTTACAAAGCAAGTAAATTCAAAATTTGGCGGGAAACGGAGGATGCTGAAACCACCCCCGTTGCCACTGAGGATTTGAGTATCTGCCGAACCCCTCACTTGCCAGCTNTGTTCCCCTTATTTGGACTGCATTTTGCATTTTGGACCTATAAATCCTGGCTCATCTGAAAAAACACTTATGTGCATAGGGAAACTAATGGCACATACGTTGTTTTTAAACCGAGCCGGAATTTACAGTTCCAAATTGCAAAATGTACTCCATTTTGAGTCCTTCCATCTCTAAGCTTCAAATCCTCTCCATCAATCCCCCCCCCCCCCCCNATCGCGTAGATTAATTCAGTTTCATTAATGTACCTATGTGTAATGAGCGAGTAGTGATATTTAAGTTTGATCGAAGACACACATTAGTTAAGTTGGTACCTGCAATGACACCTTTTGGCGGGAAAGAATCTTAAGATTGCATCAGCTGTTTGTATCGCGAAAGAAAAACATTCCCGCACCACTGTTGCCGTCTGATATAGTCTATTTCTTTTCAGAGTTATCTTTGATACAGTGCGAAGAAATCTCTTCTTGTTCAAGTCTATTTTAAGTAGAACTAATCTTTAGTCTTAAATATTCAGTATTTCAACCAACAGAACAGACATACGGTCAGAATTCGTCGAACAGCAACAGTAAATATTGGCAGTTCAATTTGGCAGCTGTGCTCAGAATCATATGTTCATTTTCCATTTCTGACAGTTCGTTACATTTGTAAACAAAACTGGTGCAGTACGTGTGATATTCCTCTTGGGGTGTTTTTTTTTAAAACTTTTAGTTGATTTCAGTGGTTATAAAATTCAGAATGAATAATTCAATTAGTAACGCGGATAGTCTTAATAAATGTGGCAGTGACGGAGCTAAAATTGAGTGTTTGACAAACAAGGAAAATCTGAATCCGACCATCTCTAACCTTGATGAACCCAACGAGTGTTTCAATCAAACTGGTGTGGAACTCGGAGTGAAATCTTGGAGGAAAGCTCATCTATTATCATCCAAGCAGAACGTAAGTGAGAATTCAAGTTTCACTGATTTAAACATGAATGTTCCCGTCGAACTCCAAGAGTTGAGTTTCCCTGACGACCAGTCTGAGTGCTCGATCAACAATGTCGCCGCCAGCACACCCGTAGTTTCACAGACTGATCTCCAGGCTCTAACCGCCGGTCTGGAGCATTTATCAATCGATCTTGACTCCTCCGACATCTACCGTGATACCCCAAACCGTACTCAATCGGACAAATGCTTTTTGTTCCTCGGAAACCGGAGCTCTGAAACCACCAACTCTCTCAATCTGGAGGAGAATGCCTCCACGGTCTGTGATAAGCTCATGAGCACATTTTTCTCAAAAAGTAAAACCTCGCCTCTAGACGGAGAGTACTTGATTCGAGAAAAGCCGATTGAAACTTCTAAATTGTTCGAAAGTGTCGAAGTTCCGCTCTCAGACCCTGAAACCCCTGAGTCCCCAGTCAAAGATGAAGCCCCCGAATTTTCAGAGGAATTCGCTAATTCGATCCTCCCCGCCATTGAATCTTTCGAAAATCCGAGCCTCTGCGAAACCCCCCATTTGCCAGCCAGTTACAAAGCAAGTAAATTCAAAATTTGGCGGGAAACGGAGGATGCTGAAACTACCCCCGTTGCCACTGAGGATTTGAGTATCTGCCGAACCCCTCACTTGCCAGCTAGCTACAAGGCGAGCAAG